GACAAGGGCAGGGAGGGATGGGATGAGGGGGATGGATGAAAAGTGGAAGAGGGAGATTGAGGTTGGACATGAGGAGGGAATTCTTTGGTGTGAGGGTGGTGAGAGCCTGGCCCAGGTTGCCCATCCCTGGCAGTGTTGAAGGGCAGGTTGGATGGGGCTTGGAGCAGCCTGGGCTGGTGGGAGGTGTCCCTGCCCATGCAGGGGGTTGGAACTGGGTGATCTTTAGAGTCCCTTCCAACCCAAAACCTTTCCATGACTCTATGACTCACCTGACCTCTCGTGTTAATGTCCCCTCCCCGGTCCTTACAGTACAGCAAACACCTCTTTGTGCACATTGGCCAGACGAACCCCTCGTACAGTGACCCCCTGCTGGAGGCCGTGGACATCCGCCAGATCTACGACAAGTTCCCCGAGAAGAAAGGTGGCCTGAAGGAGCTCTATGAGCGTGGGCCCCAGAACTCCTTCTTCCTCGTCAAATTTTGGGTACGACGCTGGGAAGGGGGGGGATCGGGAGGGTTGTCCTTGAGCCATGGGCTTGTAGCAGGTTACATACCCCACCAGGAGAGCAGGAGCATCCTGAGCAGCTCCATAAGCTGGTGTCCCCTGTCTCCATGGAGAGCTGGGTGTGATGGCACCTAATGGGACCATCTCCCTGCTCTCATCCAGGCGGATCTGAACAGCACGATCCAGGATGGTCCGGGCACTTTCTATGGTGTCAGCAGCCAGTACAGCAGTGCAGAGAACATGACCATCACAGTCTCCACCAAAGTGTGCTCCTTTGGGAAGCAGGTCGTGGAGAAAGTGGAGGTGAGTCCCACACCCCCCTACATCGGGAAAGGGTGGGAATTGGGATGGAGAAAGCCCCAGAGCTGGACGTATGATGTGGGTGGAGAAGAGAGGACATCTCAACCATGTCCCAGCTGGCCAGCACACCCCCGTGGCCGTGTCCCCGGGGTGTTTTGTCCCCCGTGGGGTGGCTGCTCACTCGCTGTGCCCCGCAGACCGAGTACGCGCGGCTGGAGAACGGCCGGTTCGTCTATCGCATCCACCGCTCCCCCATGTGCGAGTACATGATCAACTTCATCCACAAACTCAAGCACCTCCCGGAGAAGTACATGATGAACAGCGTCCTGGAGAATTTCACCATCCTGCAGGTACCTCTCCTTCTTTTCCAGGGAGTGTGTCCCACGTGGCAGGTGGTGCCTCGACCCCCGCCTGTGCCTGAACCCACCCAACGCCCCCAAAATTGGGAAGCAGAATATGTGGGGGTCTTTTTGGTGGGGGGTTGGTGCAAATAAGGTGGCTGTGCCTGAGGTCCATGCAATAATTGGTAGCAGTTTTTTGGTGGTGTCGTTAAAATGTCATTAGGTTTGGTAGTGGCTCTGTCTGGGTCCAGGCCACCTCCCAAAAATGGGGTGGGAAGTTTTTGATGGTGCAATTAAATTGGTCGTGTCTGAGCAAACTCCCTGAAATTGGGGATTCAGTTTTTGGTGGTGCAAATACAAAGTGTCTGTGCCTGAGCCCGTGCAAACCCCCTGAATTAATTACAGGGAACCAATCCTGATGGTGCAAATGAAGTGGCTGTGCCTGAGCCTGCTCAACCCTGCCTGAAAAAAAAAAAGGGTAGGAAGTTTTTGGTGGGGCACATGCAGTGCCTGAGCCTGTGCAGCCCCCCCAAAAATGGGTGGCAGATATTTGAGGATGTAATTAAATTGTCTGTGCCTGAGCCCGTGCAACCCCAAAAAATGGGTGGCAGATTTTTGGTGGCACAAATGAAGTGGCTGTGCCTGAGCCTGTGCAACCCCTCCCAGGTGACAGGATGCAAATTTTTCATGGTGCAATTCAAGGGGTTGTGCACGAGCCCTTGAAAGTCACCCCCCAAAAGTGGGTAGGAGATTTTTGGTGGTGCAGTTCAAGTGCTGGTGCCTGAGCCCATGAAACTCCCTGAATTACAGGGAGCAAATCTCAATGGTGCAAATCAAGTGGGCGTGCAAACCTCCCAAATAATGGGTAGCAAATTGTTGGTAGTTCAACTGAAGGACAACTCTACCCGATCCCACGCAACTCCCCAAGAACTGGGTAGCACATTCCTCATGCTGCAATTCAAGTGGCCGTGCCTGACAACCCCAACAACATCAGCATTTCCCTGTCAGCCCAGTTCCCTCCTGACCCTCTGTCTTCTCTGCCACAGGTTGTTACCAACAGGGATACCCAGGAAACCTTGCTCTGCATCGCCTTTGTTTTCGAGGTCTCCACCAGCGAGCACGGCGCCCAGCACCACGTCTACAAGTTGGTCAAGGACTAGGGGCCCTTGGGGACAGGCAGGGGCACATGGGGGGAGGGAGGGGGCCGTGCAGAAAAGCCACCTGTGGCCTGGTGAGAGAGAAGTCATTTGAAGAGAGGAGGAGGAGGAAGAAAAACAATAGCCAAAAAAGACTGACTTGCCATCGCAGATGTTTTCTACTTAGGAAGAGTTTCTTTTTCTTTTTGGTGGGGGGTTGGTGCAAATAAGGTGGCTGTGCCTGAGGTCCATGCAATAATTGGTAGCAGTTTTTTGGTGGTGTCGTTAAAATGTCATTAGGTTTGGTAGTGGCTCTGTCTGGGTCCAGGCCACCTCCCAAAAATGGGGTGGGAAGTTTTTGATGGTGCAATTAAATTGGTCGTGTCTGAGCAAACTCCCTGAAATTGGGGATTCAGTTTTTGGTGGTGCAAATACAAAGTGTCTGTGCCTGAGCCCGTGCAAACCCCCTGAATTAATTACAGGGAACCAATCCTGATGGTGCAAATGAAGTGGCTGTGCCTGAGCCTGCTCAACCCTGCCTGAAAAAAAAAAAGGGTAGGAAGTTTTTGGTGGGGCACATGCAGTGCCTGAGCCTGTGCAGCCCCCCCCAAAAATGGGTGGCAGATATTTGAGGATGTAATTAAATTGTCTGTGCCTGAGCCCGTGCAACCCCAAAAAATGGGTGGCAGATTTTTGGTGGCACAAATGAAGTGGCTGTGCCTGAGCCTGTGCAACCCCTCCCAGGTGACAGGATGCAAATTTTTCATGGTGCAATTCAAGGGGTTGTGCACGAGCCCTTGAAAGTCACCCCCCAAAAGTGGGTAGGAGATTTTTGGTGGTGCAGTTCAAGTGCTGGTGCCTGAGCCCATGAAACTCCCTGAATTACAGGGAGTAAATCTCAATGGTGCAAATCAAGTGGGCGTGCAAATCTCCCAAATAATGGGTAGCAAATTGTTGGTAGTTCAACTGAAGGACAACTCTACCCGATCCCACGCAACTCCCCAAGAACTGGGTAGCACATTCCTCATGCTGCAATTCAAGTGGCCGTGCCTGACAACCCCAACAACATCAGCATTTCCCTGTCAGCCCAGTTCCCTCCTGACCCTCTGTCTTCTCTGCCACAGGTTGTTACCAACAGGGATACCCAGGAAACCTTGCTCTGCATCGCCTTTGTTTTCGAGGTCTCCACCAGCGAGCACGGCGCCCAGCACCACGTCTACAAGTTGGTCAAGGACTAGGGGCCCTTGGGGACAGGCAGGGGCACATGGGGGGAGGGAGGGGGCCGTGCAGAAAAGCCACCTGTGGCCTGGTGAGAGAGAAGTCATTTGAAGAGAGGAGGAGGAGGAAGAAAAACAATAGCCAAAAAAGACTGACTTGCCATCGCAGATGTTTTCTACTTAGGAAGAGTTTCTTTTTCTTTTTTTTTTTTTTTTCTAAATAAATATAAAAGAAAAAAAAGAAAGAAAAATAATGGGAAAGGAAGAGTAGGGAGAAAGGAAACCCATCGTGGGAGGGAAGATCCCTCGGAGCGGCGTTGCGGGGGCTGCTCCGAATCCCATCGGCACGGGAGCAGCTGCGGGGCTGCCCGGCGGGTCCCGCACGGCAGGTGGCAGCAGGGACGTGGGGACAGGATACCGAGGTGGCAGCAGGGTGACAGAGCTGGGGGGATTGCTGCCACCTCCCCTCAGGACCAGCTCCCCGGCTGCTCCTCCGTGCCCAGCTGGGGCTGAAGGTGTGAGGGCATCGATGATGCAAACCATCCTTTTTATGGCTTCTTTTTTTTCCTTTTTTGTTTTTTTTTGGTGTTTGTTTTGTTTTTTTTTTTTAAATTAAAGTGCTTTTTAATTGTTTTTAAAAAGACACCGTGCTTGTCATCAGGGTTATGTCCCTCTGGGGTCACTCGTTCCCCTCCCACCCTCTGGTGCCGGTGACCGGAGGAGGATGCAGCTGAGTTGGAGCCTGGCAGAACAGGGGGAGCTGGCTGGGGTAGGGAAGGTTTTGGGGTGTCCCCATCACTCTGGGGTCACTCCAGAGCAGAAGCCAGTTTTTCCATTGCAGTTGGATCCCCTGAACTCCATGGCTGCTTCAGGGGTTGCCCTTAGGGGTGGCCCAGCCTAAATCTACCCCCCCATGGTCGCTTGGGTGAGGAGAGAGCAGTGAGGGTGGATTTGCCTGATTGACTTTGCATATGGATGTTTTCCATCTTCTTTTTCACCTTTTTGGCCTTTTTGCTGTGTTGACTGGTCTGGTTTTTGCTGCTTCCCTGCAGCTACTTGGGCCAGATTGCCTGTATCCCATGGGAAGCAGCCAAGAAGGTGGCTGGTCCAGGGAGAAGCACATTGTGCAATGCAGGGCCAGGCTGCCAGCAGGGAAGGGTTTGGGACAGAGGGGGGACAGAGGACAGGAGGGACACCAGGACAGGGGACTGGGTCTGCTTGGAGGTATTTTTGTGGCTGCATCCCAAAATAAGCCAGGCTAGAGTGTGTAGTCCTGAGGCAGAGCATCCCCAAGGTGCAAGAGGGGACAGAGTGGGACAGAGGTTGGGTTTGGCAGTGGTGGCTCAGAGCAGGGTGATGGAAGGGGTGGCAGGGGGATGGGAAGCCTGTGGTGGGCAGGTCTGGACTGGTTTTCTGTGCTGGGTGGGGGATTGAAGGCAGCAGGAGAAGCAGAAGGCAGGAGCAGTTTGAGAAGTGCTGGAGCCTGGGATGGGGGGACCAGGGAGGGTCAGGCTGGGTGCTGAGGGGCAGGGACAGCCCTAGAGCTCAGGGAAGGGTCTTGGCTGCTGTCATAATGCCACGTGTCCCACCAAGCATGGGGACTTTGACCTCTTGGTGATGGGAAAAGCCACCCATTCCCTTGGGATAGGGCAGAGCCACCCTGGTCCTGCACCTGGGGAGGGCATGGATGGATGGGATGGTTGGATGTGGCCATGGGGATGGTGGGGGTGGCTGCAGGGATGGATGGAGGTGGCTGTGAGGGTGGATGGAGGTGGCCCTGGCAAGCAGGAGGTGGCTGGAGCAGGGGGGGAAAGAGAGAGGGAAGAATCCAGGGAAAGGCCCCAGGATCCCACCCCAGGGCCGAGTTCTCATATGTAGCACGTTCGGTTTGTTCTTCCGTGGTTCTTTTTTTTTACTTCCTTTCATTTCGCTCCCTGATCCCAAACTCTGGGAAATGCAACCCCAAAACTTCCCCACCACAAACTGCAGCTGTTCCCTGATGAAACTCTTCATTAACTGGACTGGTTGGTACCTCCATTCCCTCCTCCTTCCATCCCACCTGCACAGAGCCCCGGGGCGCCCACCCGCACCCCACGCACACCCAGTGCCCCCCAGCTGGGGCCACAATCCCAGAGACACTTTCTCAACCTCTCCCCCCCTCAAGAAAAAAAACCAAACCCAGCCCCTCCTTTCTCCTCCAGTGTATTTATGAATTTCACATGAAGTACTGTTTTATTTTTTTAAAGACTTTGTAAAGCTTACTGGGGTTACAATCACCATTTTTAGAGCTGTGTCAGTCCACAATGTTAAAAAAAAAAAATCCCATTTTTTTTATGTATTATATTTTTTTGTGTAATTGTTTGGGTTGTTTGTTTTTTTTTTTTAATCCAGCTGTGATGGGTTGTATCATACATTTGTTGTGTTTACTGTATCTTGTCCAACTTCAAAGAGGACTGTGGAGGTCCATGAAAACTATGGTCTGAAAACTTTGTAAAGCTTACTGGGGTTACAATCACCATTTTTAGAGCTGTGTCAGTCCACAATGTTAAAAAAAAAAAATCCCATTTTTTTTATGTATTATATTTTTTTGTGTAATTGTTTGGGTTGTTTGTTTTTTTTTTTTTAATCCAGCTGTGATGGGTTGTATCATACATTTGTTGTGTTTACTGTATCTTGTCCAACTTCAAAGAGGACTGTGGAGGTCCATGAAAACTATGGTCTGAAAAAGGAAAAAAAAAACAAAGAAAAAAAAAAAACAAAGGAAAAAAAAAAAGAAAACCATTAAAATTATTTGTTCATGGGTTGGCTCACCTGGTTCTGAAGTTTATATGTAATTTATTTTTTTAGAATTCTGGAGGTTTGCTGGGACAGGCAGGGCTTTAACCCCTTGGCTGGGTTCTCTCAGGACCTATTTGGATGCTCCAGCCAAGCAGTGGTTTTGCTGTGGTTTCTGTCACTGGTGGTGGGTTTGCTTGGGAAAGGTGCCTGTTGGGTTCACTGTCCCCATGGCAAACCCTTCCCCACAGCATCACTGGGAGCAGGGACATATATTTTAGGGGGTCACATCCTTCACCATCAGGTGAAGGGATTGCTGGGTCTGTCCTACAAGTAAGAAACACTTGCTCTTGCCTTGGCTTGTCAATACATCCCACCCCATCCCAGAACCAGGGGACAGGGTGACATTTTTAACATCAGCCACTTCTCTAGTTTCTTCAAGCCAAATCATGGGATATTGGTGTCTGTTCCCATCACTCCAGGTCAGGGCCTGGCATCCAGCCCCCCCTGAACCCCATCCTGGCCAATGGGTTTGCACATCTGGAGTCCCCAACCCAAGAAGGACATGGGTCCTGTTGGATCATGGCCATTAAAATGAACTGGGGGCTGGAGCACCTGCCTTATGAAGACAGACTGGGGGAGTTGGGGTGTTCAGCCTGGAGAAGACAGAAGACCCTGGGGGGACCTTAAAGCACCTTCCAGTGCCTGAAGGGCCTGTAGGGAGGCTGGGGAAGAGCTGCTCACAAGGACATGTAATGATAGGACAAGGGTGATGGTTTTAAGCTAGAAAAGGGAAGGTTGAGGTTGGACATTAGGGAAAAGTTATTTCATATGAGGGTGGTGGATCAGTGGAACAGGTTGCCTGGAGAGGTGGTGGAGGCTCCATCCCTGGAGACATTCAAGGTCAGGCTGGATGGGGCTCTGAGCAGTGTGGTCTAGTTGGAGATGTCCCTGGTTATTGTAGGGGGGCTGGACTAGAAGAGCTTTAGAGGTCCCTTCCAACCCAGGACATTCCATGATTCTATGATCCCAAACACCTCTAGGCTGATTCCCAAACGCTCCCACATGCTCCAGCCTGGCAAACCACTGTCCTGCTGCTGTCCCTCTGGACTAGATGATGTCCCCGAAGGAGGTGGGGGTACCCAGAGCCCCCTCCTCCCGCTGCCACCCCCTCCCCTGCTCTGTGCCATGGGTGGGTGGGGGGTCCTGCAGAGAATCCCAGACTGGTTTGGGTTGGAGCGGGGTATCGGGGAAGACCCTACAGGCCTCTGAAGAGATGGAAGGAGGGAGCCTGAACCGGGAAAAGCAGCAGGAGCTGCTCTGGGGACGTGCTGAGCAGGGCAGGACCCGCACCCGCCCCGCGCCATGTGAAGATGCACCCCAGGGGAAGGGCTGTGCCCCCCAACCCCGCGACCCCC